GCAAATTCATGTCCACAATCAAAGCAATGCCAATTTTGGCCTTTGCTTGAGGATAATAAAGTTCTTGTTGAGTGGCAAGTATCCTTTAGACTTTTCCAATAAAAAGAAGAAGCAGTTCTTCAATCTCAGCACTTCACTTTGATTATTGGGCAACTATATCATGTGAGAAATGATGGAGTGTTACGGCTATATATGCTAACTCATGAGGTACCTCAAGTTATTTTTGTATGTCATGACTTACCTTTTGGAGGACATTTTTGTGAGGAAGCTATGATCAAGTTGGTAAAGAGGATAGGATATTGGTGGCCGATTATGCACCAAGATATTTCAAAGCATGTGAGAGGTTGTGATCCATGTCAAAGGACAGAAAAATTGTCAAGAAGAGATATAATGCCATTGTAGCCACTTTTGCTGGTGTTGTCATTCGAGAAATGGGGAATTTATTTTGTTGGGCCTTTTCCAACAAGCAAGCACTTGTTGCAAATATATGCTTGTTTGTACTGACTATGTGACTAAGTGGGCCAAAGTAAAAGCATTGAAGAAAGCTATAGGCAGAAAAGTTGTTGAGTTTTTGTACAAGCAAATTATTACCAAGTTTAGTTGTCTTTTGGAATTAGTTAGTGATAGAGGTTTTTATTTCTTAAATAAAGTGGTGGCTACACTTATTGAACTTTATCGTTTGAAGCACAAGAAATCTACTCCATATTATCTTTGTTGCAATGGATAAGTGGAGTGGACAAATGGTATTCTTTATACTATTATTTCAAAGATGAGTATAGCTAATAGATTGCATTGGGACAAGTGGCTAGTAAATGTAGTTTGGGCCTTCAAAGTGACAATGCAATATTCACCATTCCAGTTAATGTATAGTCAAGAAGCAATTCTTCCAATTGAGCTAGAAATTCTTTCTCTTCATCTAGCTATTGAGCATGACTTGGATTGGAATGAAGTAGTAAAAAACAGGTTACAATAGTTGGATCATTTGGATGAAAAAAGGTTGTTACCATTGCAAGTTAAGGAAGTGATACAAAAACATAGAAAAGCTTAGCATGATTGTCATCTTTGTAGAAAAGAGTTTACAGTGGGTGATAAAGTGCTACTTTATGATTCAAAGTATTGGAAGAGGCTAGGAAAACTTAAGTGCATGTGGATTAGGCTGTATTTAGTGGCAGAATTTTTTCAGAATGCTCAGTTCAGCTTTAGGATTTCTTTAGAAATTTTCTACTTAGTGAAAAAATATTTTGAGCGGAGTTCTTTGTGCCTCGAGGACTCAACACCAACTATCGTAATGTGTGATATCAGTGATCAATTGTGGCTGTGGTTTTCTCTTCTCACAAATTTCTCAAGTTTTTTGAAGTTTTGAGTGTTTACATGAAGAAAAAGAGGATTCAAAAGAATAGTCAAGATATTCCAATAGTGTAGTTATTAGGCAAATAAGGGTCTGAAAAAGGTTAGAATAGGCACTTCGCAAGTGAGCAAAGGGTAGAGATTGTGTGCCCTTATTATGGGCAAATATAAGTGAGATTGTTAGTTGATTTATTGGTTGAGCTATTAAAGAATAAATAAGATGGCAAACTTTTCATTATTATATAGCTCTGTGTGTGCTTGGTGTTGGCACTAATAACAAATTATGTACTCTCTACTCTCTTATACTTCTAAAGTCACTCATCAACCCAATCTTCCTTTATTTATAAGCATGCATTTGGTGTTCCATATTTTTTATTAGAACTATGTCATGTTCCACCACCACCACCTCCTTCTAAGGTCATTGCTATTAAGCTAAAGTTTATAATTTTTTTAACTAAGTACCAGTACCAAAAAATTTATTATTTCATTAGCTAGCTTGGATATTCTCTTAGTAATAGTATTTTTGTAGTGCACTTTATTTCTCTCCCCTTAAACCAACTAAAAAAGGAGCAATTACTTGATGAGAGAGCCTTTAGTAACTATTTTATTCCTATTTATCCCTTAAATTTCTAAAGATTCACAGTGATAGTATATTCAAATCTTATCCCATAATTACATGCACTACACTCACCCCCTAATTATGTAGACCACTTATTTCATGTGAACTAATTAGTCATCCATCCGTACTGAAGTCCCATGATGAATACCTTCGTTTATAGATACTCTATAAGAGGAAGGATATATACATGTATGAATTCAAATTTAGGGGTAAAAATATACCTTACTCAAGGGTATATTTATATTTTAAGTAGTCATTAATCAAAATGAATCTATTTGCTCTAATACCACATATAACACACTCTATCCCTCTCCATTTACTACAAAAGGGGTAATTATTTGATAAAAGAGCCCTTAGTATCCTTATTTATCCCCTAAGGTTCTAAAAATTTATAGTGATAGTATATTTAAATTTCATCTCATGATCACATACATTACAATTTTGGAGTTTGCTTCTTATCTTGTTTATGATTCTAAGTTGGTTATAGATTTCTATTAGCAATATCCTTTCAAGCAAAGTTTTACACCATAAGTTACTACTCGATACTTAGCATTATAGGGGGCATGATGTCATATAATTGCCCCTTTTTTGTATTTTTTAGAATGTATATTTGCCATTATTGTATTGCAAGATTTAAATATCAAATCTCAACTCATACGATTTGAACTAAAGAACTATGAGCATCTAGGATTATCATGAACTTATTCCCAATTTAAGTTTCTAGATTAACTTGAAATTGATATAGAAATAGGGTTTTTAAGATTTTATACTCAAAGTGTTCAATGCAAATCATTCTTCTTCTTTTCTCTTGTCTTTCTTCAGTAGTTTTTATTGTCTTTCTTTCTTTTGAAGATGAGCTTATGATATAAAAATTTAGCTATTTTTGAGATATTAACACTTTTATAAGAGAATGTCATATAGGAAAATTTAGAAACATTTATAATAAAAAGTATATAGAATTATAGTTTCCTATCACCAAATAATGAAATAAAATTTTACAGTAGGTATACAGTTAAAATCATAAAAATAATAATCTTTTTTATATACTGGACAGTCTTATTATAGACACATATTACATTAACCTAAAACCATATATAAAAGTTAGTGGTTTAGATTTAATCTAATCAAATTCCTATGAAAGCTCGCTAATATAAGTTGCTAACAACATTACATATGTGAGCTGAAATATTAACTATATTATTTTTCAACTATTCCTTATATTTTATATTTTAATATTTATTATTAAATATTATTTATAACTCTCTATATAAGTGCAAAATGCAAATGCTAGAATAAAAAGTTAATATTTAAGATGTTTAATATAGTAGTATCTTTCCTTTTATTAATTATATTTAAAGGTTTTTCTGCTAGATATGAATATGGAGAATATAATGCTTTAGATATACCTATTGTAAATGATCTTATAGATGCTATTAAAGAATCAATTAATAGAATTCCAAATGGTGCACTTCCAGTAAGTCAAAGTTTTCATGGGCATATAGATGTTGTAGATGAAGATGGGTTTAACTTTTATATTGGATTTGGTGTTTTTGTTTTACAAACAATTGGGGAATTTTGTGGTATAGATTATGGAGAACATGATAATTTAGGAGTTACTTTAAGACACTCATTGAACGAAATTTTAGAGGAATATAGTGTTGTGATGTTAAACCTTGCTGCATCATATTTTATTATAAAGACTGAGCATTTTCTTATTTATTATTTTATTAGACATTATAATCCTCAACAACATAGGACACAACAGATTTTAGTGAAACCCATAAAATGTAATATATTTGCAAGTTTTTTGATAAGTGGTTATGTTGATATGCCTCATCAATATTTACTATCTACCCAGTTTTTAATTTCGTCAAATAGAGAAGTATATTTATATTTAGGTGCTAATTGCAACTTAGGTTTATATAAAGGTAATACTAAATTATGGTTTCCAAAAAAATTACTTAATGGAAATAATTGCATTTTAAGACTACAAGAAGATGGAAATTTAGTTTTATATTCAGATCATAAAATAGTTATTTGGGCCACAGAAACATATTGTACTTATTATAATTGTTATCAGGATGCATATTTAGTGGTTCAAAATAATTGCAATTTAGTTCTATATTTTGCGTATCAGAAAACATTTAGTACTCACCCTAAATTAAAACTTGCATGGGATTCAAAGACATTATGCTATTAAATATATTCAAATATATTTCATCATTTCACTAAAAGAGTTCTGGCTTCATGTTGATACATTTTAAAGATAAGAAAAATGATATATATAATATGGGTCATTACTAAGTAAATATGTAAGTTAACAATGGTAAAAACAAAATATTTACCATCTATTATTTAGAGTCACAATTTTTTCCAAGCTTGTCTAGTAAACTAAAAAGAACTCTTTGTTTCTACTTGGGGCAGCTTGCATGCCTGGACTTCCTTCTGGAAATGCTTCTTCTTCACCTATTTGGTTTTATTCATTGAAATGACAGAAGTGAAAGATATTTGTATTAGCTTCTGGTGTAGAGCCAAACAAAACTTTTGCTATATTCTTTATAAAATTTACAATTTCATAACAACACCCCCCGCCCCCCCAATTGCGCCGCATGACTACAAAACTGTAGAATTTCTTGTACCAATTGTAGAGTTTAATAGATAAATTTGATTGTAATTAAAGTTTTGTTGATGCCTGGTGGTATGAGCATAGAAGCTCCGCAACTCCCCATAGCAATTGATCTTGTTTACCCTGGGAGGTCTCTAGCGCAAGAGTTGGGTCATGAAGGGCATTATTCTGAGTTCACGTCACAAACACTCTCCCGTTTTTCTTACAACGGTTTCTCATACACCAGTCTACATTTCTATACATCTAATAGAAAGCCCCATAAATGCAACTGGTGCAAGTCACAACATTGGAAGATTGGTAATCCAGCTCAAGGACTGGACAATATCTAATCCTTGATAGATCTATATTCCATATTAAATGTTATTTTTATTGTCATGCCTCAACATTGATCACGAAAAGGAAACGAGCTAGATGCCAAGAGTGAGTTCCAGCTCACAATATTTCTTACGGGCATGAAAGCAGATGTGCCTAGACGATATTTTCGTCATCGAAGTATATGCCCTTCTGTTACACTCGTAGCTCCTATCAGTTCCACAGAGAATCTCTTTTCCTCCATGATATGTTATTCGACACTTATTTAGAGAAGCAAAAGAGCTTTTTGTTTCTACTTGGGGCTGGCAGCGATTGCATCGTACATGGCTTGGATTTCCTTCTGGAAATGCTTTTTAGCTTGCGGCCGCTTCACCTGTTTGGTTCCATTGATTGAAATGAGAGAAGTGAGAGATTATTTTATGTTTTGTTTCTACGTACCTTGAAAGTGGGAGTGAGCAACCCATTCTCCAGAGTGAATGGCTCCGCTACCAAATGAACAGCCTTTGCAAATTCGAATCCTCTCAACTGCAAAGCAACCCGGCCAGATTGTCATCCCATCAGAACATTTGGAAACTCGGACATACCTGGGAGTCGCGAGCAACGGCGTCCATGTCTGCTAGCACCGCGGCCTTCACGACAGGATCTTCGCAGAGTTTAACTAGATCATCAGCATGCTGCACAAGGAAAGACACCATTTTAGAAGCAAGGAACTCTGAGAATACCAAGTAGCACCTTGATTCCTCTTGCTTTTGCCCACACAGGAAGCGTCTCCGGATCCACCACCACGATTGCTACCGCACTCGCGTTTAGACTATCGCCTGTTACAATCGAAGAGAATTGTGTCAAAACCGAGTCACACATAGGGAGAAAACTTTGCCATGCTATTCAGCGACCGATCCTTTCGCCAGGTGGACTCGCTAGACACAAAACAAAATTGTTCTCACCGTAGACGAAACACTGAGCAACGAACTTGCTTTTTTGATAGACATTCTCAATCTTCTCTGGCGCTATGTATTCACCCTGTGCAAGCTTAAAAATGTTCTTTTTCCTGGCAAAAAATGACGTCAAGCAAAATCGAATGACACAAAGCACGTTACCGGTCAATAATTCTCAGCTTCCCGTCAGGTAGCCAGAGACCAATATCACCTGTGTGCAACCAGCCCTCAGGATCAAGAACTTCTTTCCTGGAAAAGAACAGTGTAAGTGAGAGGCCTAAAGTTATAAGAAAAGTATACGTTTGAACTTCGTCTTTGTAATAGCCCTTAAATATACTTGGTCCCCTGACACATATTTCTCCCCGGGGATATGGCTTGTCCTGGCTTGTATATTCCATCTCGGTGACATCTTCAAGCTTGATTTCTACAAGAGCACTCAAAAGTTCCAAATCTCAGCTTACTTAATTCTGAAATCATACCACAAGACGAGTTGGGAGCTCCGACATGGCCTGACGTGTTGTCTCCTTCTTGACAAGAAGAAATGAGGCACGCCGTTTCTGTCATCCCATAGCCTTCGAGTACGCACGCACCAAAGCATCTGTGACATTAACATCTCGATGTCAGATCCATTTTTTTGTGTCCGTGTAGGACACTCACATTCTTAAGAAGTCCAAAACCTCTGGAGAAATAGGAGAGGCACCAGATAATATGAGCCTTACCCGGCCTCCAAGCCTTGCCTTGATCTTGTTAAAAACAAGACGGTCCCAAATAGGAGAAGGAGTCTTATCTGTAAAACCGCCGTCAGGGAGAACATGTATGGAGAAAAGTAACCTTTCTCAAGAGCCTGCCGCTTTGCGTTGAAGGCCACATTGAAAAGTTTCTCCCGCAGCCCACCAGATGATTGAACTGTGGTTACAATTCTGCAACAGAGACTGAGAAAAGGCGGAACTTTAAGAAGACACCTGACCTATCATAAATTCTGTTGTAGAGACGAGGAACACTAGCAAAAACTGTAGGCCTCAGCAACTCTAAATCATCCATGAGCTTCAAAATGTCCTGCAAGATGAAGAGTTAGCACAGAACTATAACAGGGAAGGCTCCTACCCCTTGATAAAATCCTAAAGAGGCTCCATAATGTGCCATAGCTATTATGTTCGTCCTCTCGTAAATATGTGCTAAAGGTAAATAAGAAATATGTCTGGTACATAGCCATTTGGTCAAAGGTTCGAAAAATAAAGTATTTCCCACTCACACATCTGAAGGGTACAACTTGATCGTCAAACAGGCACCTGAACAGCTGGCCACAAGGTTATGGTGGCTAAGCATCGCTCCCTGTAAAGAAAATTCCCTTCTTAACTTGAACAGTCGCAAAGCCTTAACCTTTGGTGTGCCCGTTGTCCCGCTAGTATAGCATATCGTTGCAATATCGTCAGGCATAGGCGGAATAAATGGCCTTTCATCGATTCGACCCTGCATGTAAGCTTTGAGGACACATCAGAATCGAGGTAAATGAAATACCTGTGCTTCAAATTTTGAATAGGATACAATCTCTACTCCAGACGTTTGTGGGAGTGAAGGAAGTAAATGTTCCGAACCTCCAATGACCTGAACAAATGATAAAAATGTTCATCCAACAAATACAAATATATCAAGATTCTACCACAACAAGCCGCACAGATGGAAGGTCTGAAAGACAGCTGAGAAGCTGCAAGCACAAAGAATATTAAAGAACATGTAAATGTAGAAGCTACGAAAAAAAAAAAAAACACAAACCGTATTTAATTTATCTGCAGTACAAAAGACAGCTGAAAGCTCAGCGTGATTGATGATAAATGTGACCGCATCAGCACCTGAAAGATAAAAACATTCGGGTGATGATCATCAAACAGGTCATAACGTACCAAGTGTGTCATATAACGGAACAGAGACGTAAGAGTATGACGAACAGGCGTGCTCAATAACTATCCATTCAGCACGATTAATCATGTAGAGTCCGATACCCGACCCCTGCAAACAATTAAGTTAAATCCCGTGCATACAGATTCAAAGTTCCACCTTTGGGATCCCACGAGAAACAAGACTCGATCCAATAGCCGTTCGCGCGTCACCAGCTTCTCCATAAGTAACCCATCTGTACCTGTTAGACGAACCGAGTAAAACCAAGTCCGTGTTTTAGATTGTCTTACTCTCCAACAGTCCCATCTTCGCGAACTCTTGTCCCAAGATACTTGGAGTCACCATAGGAGCGAACGGCGTACCTGAAATTCGAGCGTGATCATAACATCCCAGCTTCACTCTTGTACTTACACAAAGTTGTCGTGCAGTGTGAGAATTTCCGGATGATTTGGGAAGTGATCCACGAGCTTCAGAGGAGATCGAATGGACCTATGCAGCAAGTGAAAAATTGATAAAGCACAATATTAGTTAATCCACAGTACCTATACACATTCCACTTCCCATTTTTAAGCTTTTCGGGAAGAATAACACTATAGCCTTGCTCTGCGAAGCAGCATATCAATACAAGAGCCAGGATTAAATTGAAGCATCACCCACCAATGAAAAATTCTCCAGCTGTTGGATGAAAATCGAGCAGCTGCGATTGCCCTACAGCGGAAAAGAGAAAAAGAAAAAATGAAGAAAAATCAGCCGTTTCAATCCTGGAAAAGGCCTTTACCTGTCGCGAGACTGGCAATATGCCCGTGGATGATCTTGAGCCGGCGCTGAGCTGAATCCATCCAGTATCTCCCACAATGTTTCCCACAATCAATTGACCTTTCTTTCCCGCAGTTTTTTCTTGCCCTCGATCAGATACTCACTCGATTCACAGCTCCAGGGCACCCGATCAATCGATTGCTAGGAGGAAACGAATCCAAATCCCTCACCGATGCATTGGAATGCGGCTCGTCATCTACCAGAACAATGATCGAAGCCGCGGATCGAGACAAACTAGCATTGCCAAACCTGGTAGGGCGCCAGGAGCAAGGAGAAAAAAAACTAAAAGGGGATACGTGTTGTCAAGAGTTTCACCTATTTGAGGCGGTGAAATTCCACGGATATTCCAAATAGGGCATATTCGCCGCATCACATCCAACTTTATCCATTTTGTTTATGTACACGGTTAATCCGCAACCGTCCCGTTGGCTCAGCTACTCGCTGGCGTAGTCATCTTCGTCTCCAAACGTAAACACGGAGGCGTCCGCCGCGATCGCCCGGAAGTCATTCGATTCATCCTCAGCCTTCTCCTTCTTGCTGGGATGATCTTCCTTGACATGGACGTAGTCACTGGATTCGTCCTTGTCTGATCGAGCTTTGGGAGCTTCTTCCGCCGCCGGAGACGAATCGGATGACTTTGGACGATTCTCGCTGCTCACTACTGCTGCTGCTGCTGCTCCACAGCTTAACTCCGGTTCCGGATGCTTTGGAGCTGTAGTCTCGACGCGAACACCCTGGTTCTCCTTTCTGTGAGAATCGCCATCTTCACTATCACTGAATACGTCGTCGTTCTCGCGGGATTCTGTGTCGGGTGATCGCTGGGGAGCCTGTGGCAGCGGTGGGCTTTCGCGAGGAGGTACAGGAGGGACACTCGCGTTTGGATCCAGAATTACCACTTCTACTTGAAAGCCTGGAGAAGGAAGCCTCCTCTGGAAGAAACGAAACAGTCAAGGTGAGATTTTAAAGCAAGCTTAAGCACCTTGTCGAACCCATCGAGATCTGACACGTTGAGAATTTGTCTTGTCTCCATCATGGTTGTGTTTAGCCAGCTGAGAGCATTTTAAAAACGTTCAACTTGGCTCACCAAAGCCACTTGAACTCACCAGTAAAAGTCTCCGTGGCGGTCCTGAAAAAGGATTTTGAAATCGCCATCAAGATCCGCGACACACCTCTCTCCGGGCAAAGCGAACACCATTATCCCTCTCCTGGGTGCACTGAACCAGAAATCTTCAGGCTGCACCGGCAGTACGACGAACATAAGAGCGAGAAGGGATGATGACACGAAAGAAAAGCATCTACCATCATGTCTTTCGTCCTCGGATGTTTTTTTGTTGAGAACAATATGCCTGAAAGCAGATGATGAGACTTGCACTTCAACCGTATTAGTTACCAACCATTGTGATCGGATACTGTGATGGCTGGTCTGATCCAATAAGGGCACCTATGAAGCCTGATCCCCCTAAGAATGCACCTGCGATGTAGAGGGCCAGATAAAAACACAGTTTTGCTGTGAACTACAGCTCACTTTCGCCCGGCTGGTGTTTCTCCGTTGAATTCCTTTAGAACGCGTTCAAAATACTTGACATAACGCTGCAAAGAAGGCCAAGTATCAGTTCAGCATCACAAGAGCAGGACATTACAATTTGACTCGGTAGAATAAGACCCTTGCTATCGATGCACCGCCTCTCGTTATAGTTTGCGATGCATTCTTCGGCAGTCGGAAAAAACTGTAGCATAAAAGTTGTGGCAGGATAGACTCTAAAAAAGTGTTACCTTAAGATACAGAAGAAGACACGATATCATCAACCCGGTGCGCGCTTTCCCCGCTTTGCAATGAACCACTACGACGTTGTCGAGGTTCTCTTTAAGCCAACCATATGCACTTCGACAGAAGGCCAAGACCAATTGCAGTGGGGGACAATTGTGATCGTCGAATGGAAACGATGCAACCTGCGGGACATCCAAAAATCAATACAAAGCAGGCACGAAGGCAGTCGTTTGTCTACCTTGCCTTCCAGCAAAGAAACATCGTAAAGCCTTTCAGAGCAAAGGTTGTACACTTTGTACTTCCCCTACAATGAAACACACAGAATCAAGGCAAGAGAGATCAATACAACACTGTCTCACCTTATGTTGCGTTTCGAAAAACCTTATAACTTCCTCCATATGGTTTCTGTAAAATCCCTGTGCAAACCGAGAAGCCCATAAGCATTGCCGAATTAAAAAAGAGAAAGAAAAATCACCTCAACGTAGCCAAGGATACCAGAGCTCATGTCGCCGGCAGGAAAGCCCATGGCGATAATGCTATCAGTGATATACGTCATGTCCAAGTCGAAGCCACCTTCCTACAAAGCAAAGAATTAGAAAAACAAAACAAGCACACACAAAACATACCTGATAGCGTCGTTTGTTCTGCGAGACCAAATGCCTAGCTCTTGTTTGGACCACCTTGACTGCATTCCTGGACGAGTCGAGAAATCCCTTCGTGAAAGTACCAAATGCCCCGTCTTGAGCTTGAGCCGGGGCTGTTGTGGTGGGCAATTCGTCGTCCACCACTGGGATCTTGGCCGGGACTCTCTTCCCAAATCCACTGGAGAGAATGCTGAAAGGCGACTTGGAGTCCTTGGGCGAGCTCGCATTTGAATTCTCTTTGGCATCTTTCGGAGAGATTGGGAGCTTCAAGCTCTTGGCCCACGTCGAAATCCCAGCCACTGAGAGCTTGGACGGCGCCTCTGTAGATCCGTCACCTGGAGTAGCGGCGGCTGTTCTCGAGAAGAAACTGGCGCTCCTCTGGTAGAATTTCGACCGCTGCTGAGTCGCCGCAGCAGCTCCCTCCGTAACCGAAATCTCGACAGGCACCTCCGACGGCTCCACCGATACGCTCACGGGAGCTTCCGGCGAGCTCTCCATCGAGATCTGCATGGAAGAACTCGAGCTGAGCCAGAATAGGGAGAGAAATCGCGCATCCGGCGGCTAACCCACAGCATTTCATCCAGTCTGTGCCAATGTGGCCAATACCTGAGAGCGCTCCCACGCCTCGCGAGCTAGAGATCCATCGATGGAAAGAACAAACCCTAGGGGCTCTGCCACGTGGCACTTTTATTACTAATCTTGCGAGTTAGTTCGCTTTAGGGCTCTTCCGTAAAACACGGAGAAGAGCTCTGTCTCTATCCATGGCGATCGAAGCTCCAGCAATTCAAGATTTTGATCCTCAGCACCATCAACACTACGGCACCTTCTCGCCCCTTGATCCCGCCCGGAGATCCTCACAATATCCCGGGAGCCTTCCAGGTCTCGAATTCGATTTTGCGATCGCGCCGCGCTGCTCGATCTCGCCAAAACTATGATCAAGTTTCCTATTCTGGTTGTGGCAGTAGCGATCGCTGAGGGGCGCGCCTTGTACGCCTCTCGAATCGTCCGCGAGGAGGAGCCCCCACTCCCGCTTTGCAACATTGGCATTGGATGGTTTCTGTGAGTTCTTTGGATCCCGTGCCTAAGATCTAAATTGGATAAGTCACTCCAGATTCGCGATTGGATTCGTTAGCATCATCCCCTGGTTCGTGGGCGCGATCATCTTCGCCTGCTTCACGCACGATTGGAGAGAAAGGGCTGGGCTCGCAGCGTGTACGGTGGCTGTAAGCAATCTATACGATCGCTCCACAAAGTTCTAGCTGATCTTTCTTGCTAAGCACGATTTCTTGCGCGCAGGCGTTCGTGGCAATCCTCGTCGGAGGCTCTCGGTTCTTGTGATCGAGATCACAATGCCACGAAAACAACCAATTTGCCGTGCGCGGGACCCGATCTGTACACGTGGCACCTTCACGTGCTTTAATTTTATTTTACCGTAAATAATCTATTTTAGCACTTCTATGGAAGAACCCTAAAAGAACTATTTCCACTAAAAATGTAGGTTTTATAGATATAGAAAATGTGCGTGACTGAACTGGCCAACTTCGATTAATCGTTCAAAGGAAACGACCATCAAGCTAGCGCAGGATCCAGTCATAGAGAAAAAATCGCGAATCAATCGATCTAGAGCTACAGCCACAGAGAGAAAAGACAATAACAAAAGGGAGAAACATACAAACCAAGTTTCGATCACACTCTACCGTGAGCATTGAACTGCGGCTCCTGCGCGTAAGGATTGGACGAGTTCCTCGCGTTCTTCACGGGCGAGGACGACGATTTGCTTCTCCGCCGCTGGAAATAGATCGCCCAAGTCACGGCCTCGAGGATGAGCGCGACGACGCCCAGCGCGATGATGATCCCAATGTAGGCGTTCTTCCATCCCTTGGCCGGGTCCAGGATGTCGAATCCCTTGAAGATGTTGGCGATGGCGAGCGCGATCGTGGCGTAGCCAATGCCGTGGTGATAGGCGTTCCAAAACGTCCTGTAGCTGTGCGTCTTGTTCGGCCGGAGCACGATCGCGAACACCTGGAGCGTCCCAAACACGAACATCGTGATCCCAATGTTCCTGTGCGTGTTGTATCTCACTCCAACCGAGTCGGATCCCAGGCGGAGCCCGATCGCCCAGCCCACCACCCCGAGGATGTATCCCAGCGTCTGGCACGCGACGTGGAGGTAGAACCAAGTTGGATCGGCCCACTCGAACGATCGGAGGTAGCGCGCGGACATGGCACCGATCGGGAGGAGGATCCCCCAGCCGAGAGCGTTGAGGATGCCGTGCGCGTTCCGGAGGTGGAGCCGCGGGATCCCGGCCGAGCTCGCGGCGCCAGTGGCGAGATCGAGGCTCCCGGCCGAGGACGTGGAGGCTTGGTCCAGAGCGTGGGCTTGTGGAGCGTCGCCATTCACCTGGCTCCCCCGGTTCCAGATGTGGAAGATGTTGCTACTCGGGCTGGTGAGGCGGAGTAGCGCGGTGAATCTCGCGGTGGTGCCTTGGATCTCCACAGCCTGGGCGAGGACGGTCACGTCGGTGGTGGAATTTCTCAAGATAGCCTGCCGCGAGCCCGTGAGGCTGTAGAGCATGAGATGGCTGCCCGATGCGTTGCTGAAAGCGATGAGCGCCGAGGCCCCGTCCATCGCCGCTCGGCTTGGATTGTAGCCCCAGCCCACCCAGCCGGACGCGCTGGGGAGAGAGCCCGAGAAGGCGATCTCCAGGGTCCGGTTCTCGGCGATGAAGGTCCAGGCGATCGCCGCCCCTTGCGACAGGCTCTGGCACTGCATGAAGCTCGACTGCGTGTTCGCGATCGTGAGCTGCCGCGAGCACTGCTGGGCCGCCGATGGAGCGATGAGCGCCGAGAGGGCAAGGATCGAGATAAATATCGCCATTCTTGCTGTTGCCGAGGCCATTGCTCGATGGATCGCCACGAAAATTTCGAACGCTATGGAATATCTCGGGCGCTTGGATCGAGCAAGGAAGATCGGAATATCGCGAACCTGATCGGTGGATCGAGCAAGGAAGATCGAAGTATTGGGAACCTGATCGATCGCCGGCAGCGCTGCTGCAAGAGGGTTTTGGATCCGGCCGGGTTCTTGGAAGAAGTGCCACCCCTGGAAGCTTATATCCTCGCGAATCGCCTAGAACAGGTCGCTGTCCGGTGGAATTTGTTTACTTGTTCATCCTGCTACGAACAACACGGTCATGGTACCTAGAATTCCTACAAATCGGCAGAAGCTCACCAGAAGGCGCGAGCGGCATGCGCCAAGCCGGGCCCGACGAAGTCTTTGAGCAGAGGAGCTAGAGCCCTAAAACCGCGTTGCATGCTCATTATTCGGCCACGTGGAGGCCACGGGTCAGAGACACGTCGACGACCCCGCCGAAATGGAGCCAGCCGTTGGATCTCGGGCGAATTTGAATAAGAGCCGTCGGATGAGGAGCAGCCATTGAGGACTTTTTGTTTAAAGTTTGGTGGAAGGTAACAATAGTTCTTCCATTCAACACGGCGCTGGTTTTAGACGAGTGATGTAATGCTGAGGAGAGCATTCGATCGAGAGAGAGAGAGAGAAGCTTCTAATTTGCGAGCTAAGATTTCTATAGCTCCTTTCTCCTTTCCACCTGGTTCTCTTTCTTTCGTTTTTCACATAATGCGGTTTACAGTTAGATTCTTGGCTCGCAATCAAGCAAAGAGCTACCGCGTCTGCAAGCTTGGATTCTAAAGCACGAATTTGACGAAAAGAAAGCAAAGACAGAGAAGGAGATCTCCGTACCGTGACACTCCCGACGGATGATAGAGAACTCTACCAAAACTTTCTCGTGAACTGGGTGGACTTTGTGGATTGTCGTTAGGAAGAGTCGATAGGACTTGAAGAGAGTGTTGAAAGGTAGCTGCCAAGCAATCTTTGGTCCATGACCATGCTCGGGATCTAAAAGCAACGCGGAGAGGTTGATCAAAGCCTCAAAGTCGTCGATTCGGCAAAGAAAGAATCCGTACCTTATCTCCGAAGAAGATCTTTGAATTGTTGGTGATGGACTCGATAAACTTGAGCTCCAGGAACTCCGGAGTTAACTTGAGCTTGTTAGCCTCAGCCTCCCTCATCACCCTTTTGGAAGAGAAACAATAAAGATCAGATCTTTTCACGCGCCCCAGATGAAAAGAAAGTTGTACCTATAGAAGTTCGCATCAGCCAGGCTCTTCTCCCGGCCCAGGAAGATTTCGTTCTCGATCTCTTGCTGCCGTTTGGCACTCTCCTTCTCCATGACGCGCTGCTCCATCAGGATTTTACTGACGTGAGCATCCTTCTCGGCCTCGGTCACAGCTTGTTTCTTGTGAGTCTCGGCTTCTTTCTCCAGGACTTTTTGCCTCTCGACGGCAATCAGTACCTGGGAAACAGAGAGGTTTTAGTGTTTTGTGAAGCAAAAGTATTGTCCACGAAACGAAAAAAACAAACCTTAGTGCGTTCTTCTTCCATGCTCTCGTAGTTACGAGCAATTGTTGCCGGAATAGTTGGCTTCGTCACACGCACACCGATAATCTCAATTCCTGGAGCATAGCGTGTGCAGTCTCGCTGGATCGCGTCCTTCATGATCTCGTCGATCTAAAGCCATGCGATCGTAAGACCAATGGCTTACATACTAAGAATGAACGAACCTGATCGAACTTATCAATGTACACTTCCTGGAGTGAATGCGCGCTGCAAAACTGGTTGATTTCATGGTGGATCTTGTCGTAGATCCACGTCTTGTCGTAGCTCACACCGTAGTTGAGAATAGTTTCATACACAAGCTCCTTCTTGAGACGATTCACCACCTAAAACCACACCAAAACACGTCACTGCCTCACTTCAAACGACAGCTTTTACACACCTCAATCTTCTCGAAGTAGATCATCACTCCACCCTTCGTACCACAGGGAATGTCTTTCACCTGAGAGTCGTCGTAAGAAACACCAACTCATCAAAAGAAAAAATCCCCAAGACTCTTGCCTGATCGGTTTGTATAGTAACTTGGATAGGCTCGTACTGTGTGAGGATTGGGACCATCAGATGAAAACCTGGGAAAAGAAAGACACAAAGAAATAGCTAAGTTGCTACATCATATATGATGAGAGCCTAGAGAAGAAATAGAAGGAAAAAAGAAAGGAGCAACAATTACCAGGCTCGGAGATAGTCTTGAGCAAAGCACCGCCTCTCCAGTAGACCCCAACATGACCTTCTGGAATCTGGTGGAGCACGCCGAAATTCGTCCCGGCCACAGTGATGGGGACCAAAACCTACAATCGATCGATCCATTTGAGTAAAATATCGACCTACAGAGCCCGCATTCTTGCATTGATCTACGCGAGCTGCCGCCCGATCGATCGATCTTACCAGTGCGAGCGCCAGTGGGAGGAGCTCCAGCGCCCTCAGGCCGCCCGCCCCCGGCCTCGGCGAAGGCGTCGTTCTCGTGGCGTCCATGATCCAATGGATTGAATGGAAAAACCCTTGTCCCTTACACAAGAAACGTTTATACGGTCTTGTCACGTAGTGTTTCCACTCTCGAGAGAAAAGCCTTCTGCCCGCTCGAGCTCTTCTCCAAAGAACTTCACAAGAGAGGTGGAAGATATTTTTTCTCCTCGCTACAAAGAGAGAACTTTCTCCATAGCCAAAATGTATTCTTTGACAAAATTGTATGCTTACAGATATAACATGCCTTGTGTATAAGGAACTTTAGACAAAAAGAAAAAAGAAAGAAAGAAAAATAACGGGCCGATAGTGAGAAACTATCGGCTGATATTGTTGAGTGCCAATTCCGACACTGGAAGTCCGCCATTACCTAAGCTTGAAGCTCCCGAAGACTCGGACATATAGAGAGGAGCCAAGACGCTCGTCGCGAGCTCCGGAAGCTTGTTAAAGTTGTGCAGCTGCTGCTGCTGCTCCTGTGGGGGAGAAGTGATGATCGACGCAATGGCAGCGGCCAAAGCGGCCGTAAATTTTGGATCCGACGTGATCGCCGCGCTCACGCTCTCGGCCAGATGATTGTTCGAATGACTCGAGCTCCTCTGTGGTTGCAACAAGTTGGAGCTCGAGTTCCCCGAGTTGTTCCCGTCGTGAAAGATCATCTCTTGCTCGCGGCGATCTTCCCGCTTGCTCTCGCCAGGAACCACAAACCTGGTAGCGGCAGGAAGAGGATTTGAAGCCCCGGGGTTTGTGGTGAGATCCAGAGTGACGGTCGGGAATGGCGTGGTGGCGGAGATGGTTGGCGCCCCGGTCAGCATCCCGGCCATGAAGCTAAGATCGGTGCTACTGGCGGTGGAGCCGGAGAGGAGCATGGTGGCGGCGGCGGAGGTGGTGGAAGCCATGCTCGTCGCCGCCGGTGGGAGCTGATGGTTGTGGGATCCCTCGTAAGTTGTGACGAGGACGCTGGTATCGTCGGCACACCTTTGGACTTGTTTTCTCACGGGGCATCCCGAGGCCATGGTGCAGCGGTAGTAAGCTCGCGGGCATGGGTTGCCTTTGGCCATCTTTTGGCCGTATTTTCTCCACTGGCAGCCATCGTTCATCTGTGGATATGGAGGAGTTAGAGAAGCTTTCAAGGAAATATTGAAGTGTGCTTACTGTTGGAGCTTCGCATCGAGCACGAACCGAGACACGGACTTTGTGCAGCATCGATTCCAGGTGCTCTGGTTGGTTCTGGAAAACGATTTTTCCCTGCGTGCCAAATTGTTGTTGCTGTTGCGGCTGCTGCTCGTTTGGTGGAGAGCTTGGATTGACGTCTAGTTTCTGCAAGAAAAACACATTTTAGACCAAATAAAATTACTTTTTTTCTTCTCCTAAAGAGAAAAGTTGCTATTTTTTATAAGGAAAGAAAGAAAAAAAAGTACCTGAGGAGATGGCGCTTTTTGTGATTGTTGCTGGATCAATGCCATGGTCTGCACCTGAAAGTTTTGGTACTCGGCTTTCACTTGATCCAGCACCGCCCGCAATCGCTCGTTCTCTTCTCTCATTCGTGTCATCTCAGCGTGAACTTCGACGAGCTGAAAGGCAAAAAAACATGAAAAGTCAGATCAACAATGACTCAAAAGAAGAACTAAATCTTTCCACTTACTTGGTTCTTGAGCTCCTCGTTTCTGGGAGACAGTGGCGGCGAGTAGTCCTCCACGGTAGATTTATCGCTGGCCACGCGGCCCTCCAGTTTGAATTGCGGAGACCCTCTGGAGATCCTGGGGCTCTCGCACTCCTGCTCCCCAAAGTCCTGCTTGATCAGCGCCGCCTTCCTCAGGAAAAACGGGGTCTCCCTCTTCAGATCCATCTCCTCGGCGCCCGCATCGTCCTCCTCGCTCAGCGCCAGAGACAAATCGATCGACTTGACACGGTCCCGCCGCCCGGCCATTCGCTTGCGAAACTTTGGCGACGGCGCGCCGGGGTCCGGATCGTCAATCCTCCTCCTCTTGAGATCCTCAGCTCTATCCATGAACAGCAAAGAGGAGACTTTCGCCTTCTCGATGATCACACACCCTTGGAAGAATTGCTGGGCTTTATTAGCGGCGAGAAGTTCCAAGCCGATACGCTACGCAAGCGACCACACGTGGAATCCGTAGAGCAAATCTCTCGACTGGAAGAAGAACGGGGAGAGCGCTGGAAGCTATAGAAAACGAAATGGATTGACCGTGCCCTCTCTTCCACGCACGGGGTATTTCTAGAGAAACTTTCCACGATGCCCAAGGACGAGGACGGGGGAGACGGTGACCACGCGTGACACGGTCAAAATAGGCAAAATTTCTCGCGAGGCGACCAACCAACCAACGTAGTTTCCCGGCGCCAAACACGCGGGAAGCTTCCGGCACTGGCAGACAACCCTTGGATCCCGACCATCAACGGCCGGTCTTACGTGCACGTTTTCCAGAAGCTCCAAAAGACAGTACGGTTGACTGCCAGTCAACAGTCACTGTCGGGGTCGTCGATTGCGTCTTGGAAAAAAGAGGAGCGCCCGCAATTCGACCGACTTCTAGTCTTGCATTTCTTTCCTCTCTTTCTTCATTTTCTTCGTAGGTTTTGGTTGTTGTCATTGTTGCTTGAGGACGTTAGTGTGGAAACGCGAGAACTGGATAGTATGGTCCTCGTACTGTAGGCTGTAGAAAAGCGAAGCCTTATACGTCCAAGGCTTCTACGGTGTGTATGTGCAAATCTTTCCACCTCGCATTGAAACCTGGGACCGGGTGTTTGGATCGCACTTTCTTTGGTTGAAGTTTTGGAATTTTCCTCGTTGCCGTGTCATTTAGTCTCTTGCGTCCATCCATCCAGACGCACCACAGAGAAGCAGCCACGAAACCAGCAAGGAAGAGCCCCACTTTCACGAGTCTTGTGGAGGTTAAAGAAAATATCAACGCATGCCGACAAGAGGTCTATTTCTTCCTGTCGTTTTGGTTGCCCAGTCCAGTCTTGGGCGGTAAAAGCTTAGAAAATCTTAGAAAGTGGTGCATCGAAAGTAAACAGCAAATCACTAAACGATACTAAAGCATAGAGATTTCCAGAGGGGCAAGAAATTCTAGGGACCCGACCTAAGTAAGACTCATGGTTTGTGAGCCAAAGGTATTTCTCGAGGTAAAGTTGATGTATCAAGAATCTTTAGAGAAACTGCATCCTAGAATTCTGTTTGTGGTCATGGTTTTAATCCAACGCTGCAAAAACGGTTATAAACTGAGAGATCTCGGTTTGCCTTACTGAGAGCTAAGTTGGCCAGAGTTGGCATAAACCCTCTCAACTTCTGTGAAGAATTCAAGCAATGCTAGCTCTCAATTTCGAGCTGGGATTTACGCTTAATTCTATGTTAAGGCTTTGCCGACAGGCTGGATAGCAGAACATAGCTACACTCAATATCCTCGCTCTCCATGCAGCAGCAAGTATACCACTTGGACAGAGCAAAGTCGTATGCAACAGGAGGCCACACCCCAGGGCTTTCCTTCCTGTAGAAGGCCGAGATGAAGGCAGTGTCCCCGACCAGCCTCACTTTGAGATCCTTGTCCCGAACTGACAAATCACAATCGGGTCCAAACAGGTCGTTGGACAGAACCCGGGACACCAACACCCACGTTGAGTTTTCCTGTTTCATCTCCCAGATTGCCACTCCAAACATCTTCAAACAGAAGCGACGCCAAGTAGCATTTCCCCTTGTACATGAAGGCACCGATGTATCCAAAAGACCAGTTTGCCCAGCTCTCGTCTTCCTCTTCTTGTTCGTTACGTGCCGGTGGTGAGATAACCGCGTGAGACCAAGTTCTGGAATGCGGATCATAAGCTGGAAATATGTTTTCTCCGGTGTAGAAGAAAGCACAGCCCCGTAGAGGTGATCCCGACAAGTTTGATGAGCTTGACGTGCTGAAGAACGGGCTTTGGTGCCAAGAACATGAATCTGATTCATACTGCAGCGAGAATATTTTATCGTCGTCGTCATGGATCTTCTGGTACAGTATCGCAAGTTGGTAAGAGCTGCTGACAGCATCTGTTTCCATGCCGATGTCGAGATAGGCTGGCTGTAGACGATCCAGCGCTGGCTGTAGGCGATCCGCCGGGTCAAGTGGAGCAGGAGGAAGTGTCTTCCACACGTTGGTGATTGGATTCCCCACAGCAAAAGTCATCCAGTCTGTGTGTTCCATGAGCATCCCACAGACAAGTCCGTTGGAAGAACACAAGCCCACGAAGCGCGAACCCGACGGGCCTAACGGAAGACTGCACCTCTTACGCTGGAGGCTATGCGGACGCCATAGCTCGGTGTGATTCTCTAGCCTCATGCCATAGTCAAAATGCTCCTCATCGTAACAGAGACACTTGCTTCAATGGTCACGCTGAGAAGAAGTAAAGAAACACTTACATGTCAAAGGGAAGACCCGTGCGCACCCTGAGCACGGCCCAGGGTTCCAGCGGTGGCTTGTACAGCTGCACGAAACGAGGAGAGCGCACAGCGTCATACCAGGACTTGCACACGGCCTGCAATGTGAACAGGCCCTCATTTCCCCATTAGACTAGCATAATACTTCAGATGTCAAAATTATAGTTTTTTATCTAGCATTTTTTATCCTTTAGGCAAGAAATGCTTTGTCATGCTCCATAGCAAAGACAGGGAAGCTTTTCCAGCGAAAAATCCACCACTTTTTTTTTTGTTTTTTGTTTTTTTGTTTTTTGGTTTTCTTATTAGGAAATTTTATCCACTTTAATGACCTATTTTGTTATGAGGGTTTCTTTGAGGATTCCTATTCTTTTACTAATACTTCTCAAAGTAACAAATCTGACTATTCAAGCAGATGTAAATTGGGATGCTCTTTCACTTTATGATTTTATTAGTAAAGGAGACATTAATGATATTGGAAAATTTTTAGTCAAAATGACGAATACGAAAATAGTGGAAACATATAAATACTATGGTGCGCATACTTGGACTGATTATCTCTCTTTGTCTGATAAAGTTATTGAAGTTACTATCTGGATAAGGCCTAATGGCATGTGTAGTATGTCTATGAGCTTTTATTTGATATTTTACAAGAGGCTCAAGTGGGAAACTAGTTGCTACTTTAAATTATGTTGGTATCAAATATAAATTATTAAATGCTAGAAAATACAATTCTAAGAATATCAATAGGCTGAATAATACTTATACAAATGCAATTTTTAATTGTTGGATTTACAGATCTACTCTTATGAGTGGTGAAAAACACGACTTTGGATCTTCCTTACTCAATTCAAATTCTCTAATTTCTCCAAATGGAGAGTATGAATTAAGTCTAAATAAAGATTGTAATTTAGTGTTAACTTGGAAAAGGGTGTATAGTTTATGGGAAAGTGGGACTACAAATAAAGGTACTGGCTGTTGGTTAGTTTTAGAGATTAGTAATAAAAGATATGGAGATATGGTTTGTAAATAGCAATTGTCCAACATGTAAATCAACAACACTTTCTGTAGAAGATGATGGATTTGTCTATATTATTAGTTCAAATGATAATAAAATATTAAAACATTTTCCTTAACAACTTCTTTGTTTAAAATTCTATCAACTTAAGGTGCTTGTAAACACTAATCATGGTGGGGTAAAATTGAGGCTGGGTATACTTGCTGCATAGCTATGTGCTGCGTCACAATTGGGTTCTTTAAATTTGTGTCAATTGAACAGGAACGATGCCCAATAGCATTTCCCCTTGTACATGAAGGCATCGATGTATCCAAAATATCAGTTTGTCCACCTCTTCTTGTTAGTTGCGTGCTGGTGGTGAGATAACCACATGAAACTAAGTTCTTGTTCTCCCCAGTGTAGAAGAAAGCACAGCCTCGTTGAGGTGATCCTAATGAGTTTGAAGTTGAAGAACAGGCCTTGGACTCGATCTCGGACCACCCATTAAAGCCATTCCACGGGCACGGGCTCGCTCGTTCCCTCCAGAACGTGCTCGCCAGGCTAACACCTGGCTCGCCCGTTCTGGGCGGGAACGTGCTCGCCCTACTTGCACATCAAATGCTAGAATCTGGTTTGACATACAACATCATTTTGTCCACAAAAACCACTGATGGTGAAATCAACTTGGTCCACATACCAACATATATACAAGTTGCAGACTTTTTACAAAGGCACTAGAAGAATCCACAATTGAGAGTCCAAGATTGAACTTAGTTAATATAGTTAATTGATATATTCACTCTTTATTCTAGGTTTCCTCAATGCATAAGAGAGTTCTTGTTCTTAGTGCATTGAGCTAGCAAGCTTTGCCTCTTTCATTTAGTAGATTTGCACTTTTGAACAAATCTAGAAGATCCAAAAAACTAAAGATATGGAGTTTGAAATTGCAATTTGGTGTAAACAATTAAATTTTTATTCTACTTTAGTCATTTAATTACACCTTTGACCACTTGGAGGAGTATCTATTAGCTAGACAAAGATTTAAATGTTTTAAACATTTTTAACTAAAAACAGTCTTATAAGGGTTAGTTGCAATAATTCAAAACATGGGTGCTTCCATTATATTTAAATTTCTAAGAATCAAACTTTTTAGGTGTTGTATAATATAATTAATTAAGAAAATAACTTTATTTTAGTTATGTAAAGATTATAGATATAAGTGTTGTATTTATACATTGTTTCTTAAGTGGGAGTTTTCATTCTTGATATTTAGAAGTGTATGTAACTATTTTTTTTATTAATTTATTTCTTAGTTTACTTTTAATACTAAAAAATATTAATATGATTTTCAAATGATTCAACTTTATCTTCATTTACAATAATTTTTAAAATGATACTTTTGAAATATAAACCATTTTTTTTCTTTTCGGGTGCGTCAATCTTTTTTTCTTGGATTAGTCGATTATAGCTTTTAAACGCACCTATCGCCCCAACTATGCAGGTGTAAGCCACAAATTTTTCCTTTCCAATTTGCCAGCTTACCTCGTCTATCCGACCAACACTGCCTTGCCTTGTGCTAAGTTCCCTCGCCAAGGTTCCTGCCTATTGTACTAGCTCCTACTTGGTTCTACTTGGTTTCAGCTACTCACTGCACGAGCAACGGAGCATTAGCCATCCATTCACGGATTCCCAAATCTCTCCCAATCCCCCTCCTTGGGTTAGACTAGACTTAAGGTTCGGCTATAGTCCCCGCAGGCACAAGCAGCCAAG